TTTGTCTAGTTCTCTTGAGCTATTCTCTGTAATATTGAAGATAGTGGGGTGAGTATAATCACTTAGTAACCAAGGTCCAACTAACTTATACTAATGTATGTCAATTAATTTAAATGCAAGTGACTAATTACAATAAGATTTCAAATCACTAATCATTCTCTAGATTATAAAATCCACATTTTTCAAGCATCAATGCACATGCTCAAAGGATCATGATTAGTGAGCACCATTTCAAACAAGAGAATAAATAATCACAGTCTATCAATATAATTTCTTATGGAACCAAGTTATACTCCTATTTATCAACATTAAGGTTACAATACATATAACTATGTGCCCCTTTTCACTATATGCATGATCACACTTCTCTTATATCCTCCTTATTTCTCTAACATGAAACTATAGGCTATAGTATATTGAGATAATCTATAATTCAGGACTTTCCTAGCCTATACACTTGTGAGGGGATTACTTAGCTAAGGTTTACCTAACTCACTTGTGAAACACAATTTTCCCCATTTTCTCACACTATGGGGTGTCATTCTCCCTAAATTAGCTTTCTCATTGAACTAGTGGATAACTAGCTAGGTTCAAGTCTTTCGTTAAACTAGTGGGACAATCCCTCATTGAACAAGTGAGATAATATGAATATAAAAATTTGAGCAAGTCATCAACTCGGATAAGTGCCCTTCCACGTAGATTTAATTCTCTAGTTCTTTTCCTAGGCAAAATCCCATCTCTTATGATTATACAATGCATAGATATGCATCATTACAAACAAACATATACTCATCATTGTACCTAATCACAAATTAGACAATCACATAATACACATCCAATTAATTCATTGAACTCCACTTATCTATTTCATCGAACTTCTCATTCACAAATTCATTAAACTCTTCAACCTCACATTTTTGTTAAACTTTAAAATTTTGATTTCATTGTACGATACACATATCAAGTCATTGAATTCACACTTCTCAAATTCATTGAACTTCATTATCAAATTGCATCATTGAGCTCCAATTTAATCATTTAATTCACAATTCACATCATTGAACTCCCATTTAACAAGTTATTGAACTCCATGTTTTTAAAATTATTGTACCTCACATGTTAACAATCATTGAACTCTACACTTTCAAAATCATTGAACTACATTAAATCCCCACTTCATAATAGGCTTTTCAAACAAAACAAGTCACATTTGCATTTTAATCAATTTCATAGTTCAATTATCAAATATCAATCAATAAACTAATTAGCACACAAAAGTATAGGATAAAATTCTCTCGGTTACCTCAAACCATTAAGAGGTTAAATGTTTTACCCTTAAATACTTACTCTAAAAGCTTTTAAGAAGTTCAAATGGTGCCAACAAGGCTGCTCTACAAGCGTGTACAATATAATTCATTAATATCTATAGTTGAGCTAATTTTCACTATTAACTTAACACTTCTTCATGCTTAAAATTTATTCTACACTCATAAAAATACCCATAAATTTTCTTAGCTTCCTTTAATCCTCATTAACATCATTGAGCTCTTTAATGGCCATAATGGAATCACATTGTTCCTAACCAACTTATTTATGAAAATTTCACATATTGAATGCTTTTCACCCATCAATCATCATAACTCCATAAATTTAAAGTTTCATTAGCTTAATCTAATCTCATTAACTCTATTTAATTCAATGAGTTTGGATCCATAGCTTATATTGACCTAAAATCATCATTATCAACTAAACCCTAACTTTCAATACTAAGAAAATGGAAAAAGTAAGGAGGAATTAAGTGTAGGAAGCTTACCTTTAATGTTTGTGAGTCCCAAAATACTCCCAATACTCAAATTCTTCAAGCCCTAACAATGCCCTTTTGTTTCTCTTCACCTCTTCTTTGTTTCTTTTCTCTATTGCATCAGTTTTGAGATGTTATTATAATAAAAAAAATGACTATGCGTTGTGGTGCATGGCACAAAGAGGGCTTCCCTAGGCGTGTCAACATGCTTGCACCATGGTGACCTCATCCACGAGCTCGTGGCACAAAACCTTCCCTTCAGATTTCTTCCTCTTCTCACTCCTGGTTGACCTAATTCTCCTTAGAACCCATGTTTAGGGCTAGAATTGAAACTAAACATGCCCGTTAGGCCTCTCTAGCCACACACCTCAATAATACACTTAATTAATCTAATTTAGACTTAATTAATCTAGTTTAAAATCAAGGATGTTACATATGTGGTTAATTAAGATCTCTTGTTTTTCATTTTGGATTTGTTATTGAATCGATTTTGGATGTAACCTTCTTCCCCTGTTTTTACTTGATTATTCTTAGGATTAAATGGACAAATATTCTTATTGTGTTCATAGCATCCACATCCAAAGCAAGTAAGGTTCATACTTTCATATTCAACATTGTATAATTCATTTCCAATGAGAAGTCTTGGGACCAATTTCTTTTGTAAATCAATTTCAATGTTGATCCTAATGAATTTGCCTCATTTTATTTTGCCTATAGCATCCTTCATCTCTACTTCAAATAGAGTGTTTGCATCCACTTTTAGAGTTTTCTCGATGCAATTTCCTATTTTTAAAGTATTTTTTTTATCATAACATTGAATGGGGATGTTAGATAATTAAACCCATAGTGCCACCTTACCCAGAGAGTTAGTGTTAGGATTGAATTAAGGTGTCCATCTCTGAACAAGATGTAATGGTCAAAGATAGTCCATGGACCACCATTGAAGATTCTTTCATAGGCTTTAGAATTTTTTATTCGCACAATATAGTAATTATTGACTGAAATCAATTAGCTCAAAATCTTTTAAATTTCATATTCTGGCAAGTCTGGGCTTGAGTGATCTAGGATACAATTGAATACCTAGAGTATTTATCACCAAGGCATCCATCCAGGGGAGGCATATGTTTTTCCATTCATGATCTGAGATAGGTACCATCGAAAATCACTCCATTAATTTTTTTAGTTGTTTCAGATGGATTCCATTCCTTATCTAACTCTTTAGTAAGAGTGTCATTGATATTTAGTATCTCTAGCCTCATGGATTCCAAAATAGCCATTATAGCCAATGAGTGAATCTTTATAAGAGATAGGAGCTTTGAAGGCTTTAATTCCAATGATCATATTTTCTTTGGCTGAGATTGCATCTTGTACCTGATCTTTTCTAGATTGCAGATATATTGATTGGACAGAGTTAGATGAATTTTCATACCCTGTCGAGTGTCTATTGATATGTTTAGATGATGCTAAATGATCTTGTTGCGCTTCTTGGCCTTTGTCCACATCTCTTCATCTAACTTCATGACATTTCTGTTAAGTAAATTGATTTCTTCATCTGATACAGGAGGATCTAAATTTTCATCTAATCTCGCTAAAGCAGAAAAGATGCAGTTTGGATCGAGCATGGTTTAGTGATTCATTATAGTCAGAAACAAAATAAGATTAAGAAGATTAAGTTTTGACTTGAAAAAAGTTCCTAACAATAATGGAACCTCAACTTTTCATCCTTATGCAATGAATTTAAGTTCCTCTATTTTAATCAAGTAAAATAGGGATAAACAGAGTAAGTTCAACAATAAACTACTGCTGTTATAAACTCTCTCTAAGAGTGAATATATAATTAATGAAGCTCACAGACAATAAACATTTCTCAAAAAGTTGGTAAAAATAAATGCACAAGTAATGACAGAGTTTTGTTCTTGTTAGCTCTACTGTTATCTATCTACATTCTTTGTAAATGATTCTTATTTATAGTTGAAAGTCATAAATGATCCATTAGACTCATAAATCTTCTCGTTGGAAGTCAATTATGCTCCGTGTTCTTCTTTTCTCTGAGTTTTTTTTGAATAACTTAGCTTATCTAAGTTTCTCCGGTGATTGAAGTAATGTAATAGTACTTTATGGTAGAGGTTTTCTCTTTAGGTAACCTTACTGCTATAAATATTAAATGCTATAACAGAAGTAGGTAAAGGTTTTATACCGATGTAGCAAATTAGCACGGGTGTTATGAATTAAGAAACAGTCACGGAGAGTTTGATCCAAATAATAATTGTGTTTAGATAGATTTTAAAAATCTTATAAAGCAAACACAATTGATTGTGGATGAAAAGAATAGCTAAGAAATAAGTTTTGAAGAGTTTAAGATTGGAACATGTAAAATAGATCATGAAAAAGCAATATAGTACTGATGTTATGAAGGATAGTATTGATGCTGTGAAGAAGAAAAAACACAGCACACAAGAAAATAGCACATGTGTTGCTTTGGTAGTATCGGAATTAAGTTTCTTCGTAAATGATGAAGATCTTTATCATTTTGAGGAAATAACACCATTTTCACAAGAGGCAAGTTATCACGAGTGTTATAAGAAAAAACAAAGGTGTTAAAACATTTAACACAGAGTCTCTGAGAATCAAGTTTAAAGAAGTACTGATGCTATGTCTTTAGTATAGGTGTTAAAAGAAAAACTTGAAGGGCACCACCCATTCTAGTTAATTAGTATAGGTGTTAACTTATCTCAAAGAAAGAAACTATTATAAAAATTACATAACAGCACTAGTGTTAAATAAGAAGAGAGTAAACAAAATAAAACTTGTTAGAGGAGAATAAGAGTAGCCTCTAGTACCGGCGTTAAGGAAACATGGGTTAAAACCAAAAGAGAAGAGATGAAGTAACAGGATAAGTAGCAATGGTGTTAAAGTACAATACCAGTGCTAAAGATTCTGAGGCAATGTTGGTAATGACCTCAGCCTAAACACCAGTTCTTTTTGTAGTAATTTCTTTGGATTTTAATTGGGAAAATTACTTTGAGTTATCACATAACATAATTAAATATCATAAGATAAAGAAAAATGACAAACCAATTATGTTGAACTTGTATGTAAGTCTTCTATTCTAGTTCACTAATTTGGTGAAAAGATTTCTGTGTAATCATAAAATTGGGGCCAATCATGCCAAGAGGTCGTGGTTCGCCCGCCATCTCATCCTTCCAATACAGAATCTTCTTCTCCAGCAGAAATAGTATCTGTTAAAATTTTCGTCTTTTTCCCACTTTGTCGACATTCACAATTTCACATTTCAGTGTTTTGCTTCAATCTTTCTCTCATTGGTAATAACGTGGCCGAAGCTTAACCAACAGAGACGTCGCTGAACCATACACCACGAATCATTTGATAATTCCGCACTTGATAGCTGAAAAAAGTCTTTCTTATTCACCTATCAGTGACCCACCATTTCCACAGCCACAGAGGAAGGTAGGAAGGAAGGAAGATAGAGAGAGTGAAAAAAATGGCGGATGAGAAGAAGCTTAGCGGCGACGGCGAAGCAGCAGGACATGGGATAGTGAAGGTGGACCCCAAACCTTACAATGGATTTACATCCAAAGCGATCGATCTTTTAGAGAAGATGGTGGTGAAGTTCATGTATGACTCTACAAAGCCGCATCAGTGGCTCGCTGGTAATTTTGCTCCCGTTCCGGACGAAACACCTCCCACTAAGCATCTCCCTGTGAAAGGTCACCTCCCGGTGAGTACAATTGGCTTTTATATTGCCCAATTTATTTATTTTTATTGAGTTACCCACGTATTTGTTTCATGCGTTGTGCTTTTGCTTGCTGAATTGGATAACCGAGGTAAGGAAAGAACGCGAGCGATGGAAAACAAAGATTAATTAATGGGATTGGGTTGTTGTGTAATCATTTTATTTCGTTTTTCAGTTGACTGAGAGCAAATTTGATTATTTTTATCGGGTTGACGGATTCGCTATCTCCAAAGTTTCGAAGTATTAATTACTATTAATTAACTTCGTTATGCCCCTCCAGGGAGTAAGAATTTCCACTGTTTCATTATGTGCTGGTTTATGCCAATAGCTATACTTAGTATGCCGTGTCTTATCGAAACTTATGCTATTCAAGTTTATATATGGATGTTTAATCTGTGAAAATTCAATTATTGGTTGTTGAGCTGAAGGTTGGAGTTCTCATGATTACGAGAATACTGATCGGAGATTCAAATAGTTTGTTTGCCTGGAGATGAAAATGTTTGAAGCCTAGACATAGTTGCGGGTTGGCAATCAGAGGAACTTTACTGCTTAATACTATTTCTTTGATGAGTTTTGGAAGAACTGTTCTTCTAGTGGAAGAAGCTGGAATTATTTCAAAGACATGACCAATATTTTGTTTTTGGTTAAGACATGAATGACATTTATTTATACATGGCATGGAAAATATCAAATAATTTACAAAGATGGAATTATGGAAAGACTTGAAAGTGTAAACTAGAAGAATTGTTGGTTCGTTCATGTGGACTCTGCTAGCTTACATAAGAATCCAACCAGCTGTGAAGAGGCTGTTTTACTCACTTATTCTCCACATGTCTTCGCTCTTCAGTGTTTATTTCAATGACATAGGTCTCGTGGTTATAATAATGCTAAAAGCCTCTAGATCTGCCCAGATTTATGGGCATTTGCCTGTGCCTAGTCAGTAGCAGCTTGTATTATTCTGGCCAGTTCCTTGGTTCTAAGTCTTGGTCCTTTCAGTTTTCTACACTTGTGCAATAATGGATAATCATGTTATCTTTATTGCTTTAATATGTCTGGATTGCATGTGAGTGACTATCATAATTTTCCGGTAATATTCTATGCCTCTAATAACATGCCAGTGAATTTCAGGATTGTTTAAATGGAGAGTTTGTCAGGGTGGGACCTAATCCTAAGTTTGCCCCCGTGGCTGGATATCACTGGTAATGTTATTGCTTTCTTGCATTGAACCATATATTGTGAATTGGGATATATTGCTTGGCTGCCTGAATGATTTCTTTTTTTCTTTTCCTTTTTCCTCTATTGTGACTATTTTGTGGGGAGAAACAGGATTAACATGGGACTATTTAGTTTGTCCCAATGAAAATATTTATTCTGAATCTGGAGTTTTATGTTTATACTTTGTTTCTTCCCTTTTGTTTGCAGGTTTGATGGAGATGGGTATGTGATTTTCTTCTCATACTCAATTTTTTTTTTTTTTCAGTTTGCTGAAGATTGATTTTTTTCATGATATTAGTGCTGTCACATTTGATCTACAGCAGGAAAGATGGGTGGCCTTAATACTGCAATAGCTAGGGGATACTGCTGACCCTTAAACCTCAATCATCATTTCATGTTTGTCGTTTAATGCTTTATTTTACGGCTGATTGAAATACTGAATTACTTGTATTCAGCAACATCTATAAGATATGTGTGAAATAATTTAAAATCTATAGTCTGCTTTTGTATTACTGATCATATTATAATTCCCCACATAGTGGGATAGTGCCTTTTATTGTTGTAGTTGTTCGTATTGTAAATGCTGATGTTTCTGCTAGTTCAGTTGGAATTGCATAATTTAATTCTCCAGCAACTGAATGCTCCTATTCCTTGTTGTACCTTAGGTTTTGCCTCTTTCTTTTACCTGCTTGCTTTATTCCATTTAAGTAATCATTGATATGATATTAACCCCTTTTTACTTTGCTGTATTTGGAACATTTTCAGTCATCAAAATTCAAAGAAATGTCCATTTTCACATGCTATGACATGTTAAAAGATTTCACTTATTTGCCACTGACTTGTGCTTTTCTGAACTGTATGAAAGCCACGGTAATCTTTTGTTTCTTTTTTTAAAAATTATCTTCTTTTCTTTTTTTTTAAAAAAAAGAGTTGTTCAACTTTTGCAACTGGATAGGACTTTCCCAGGGGCAGGCGACATAAAAGTGTCAAGTTCCAGATGAATGTGACAGTGAATCAGCTGAACAAACTTCTATTCACTAGATTTAGTTTCTTAAATTAATAAACTGTTTCTAGTTGAACTTCCACTTTTGAAAGTGAGCAGGTCATTGTAATATGGTTAATGTTGTATTCAAATTTTCTTAACCCTCGAGTAGCCAACAATGCTGTTTAGAGCTTTTATTTTGGTATCTGGTCCTCCCATTCTGATTCATATATCATTGAATTGCAGAATGATCCATGGTTTGCGTATCAAAGATGGAAAAGCAGCATATGTTTCCCGATTTGTGAAAACATCTCGTCTAAAACAAGAAGAATATTTTGGAGGTTCTAAATTTATGAAGGTATAACAATAAATTATGTTCACGAGCATTTTAAATTTTATCCTATGTTGGATATCCTCTTTCCTGAAGTGAGTGTTTGAAAACAGTGACTGCTTTAAAGGGCACAAACACTAATGCAGGACAAAGAGAAGGAGAGATAATAAATAGGGGGAGACCGGCAGAGTTTAGGAAGATTAAAGGAGAGAAAGGAAACTCAGTAAAAATCTCTAACTTCCTAACTTAGGACAGAACTAATATCCTAACAAAATTATTATAAACTCAAAAAGATTTTCATTTATCAAGATACTAACGTCCCAATATACAATCATATACGGTATCTCAATTACTGATGATCTTTGATGTGGGATATATCATATATACTTATATCATACTTTCTTAGGATCTACAGGACAAGTTATTTGGATTCATAGTAAAATGTGCGTGTTATTTGACGAGTAACATTGAACAACTTATCAATATCACTTTTTATGGGGTATTTGAACTAATTACTTCGTCAATGCACTCATTCATCTGATATTTCTAATCGCTGAAGTCTTTTACCTTGGTGATCTTCATACTACTCAAGTCTTTATTGCTTCTAAATTCAAATTACGCCTGAGTTTGTAGAATTAACAAACACTGATATAGTGTTTCATGATAGGCTTAGAAAGTTAAATCAATCCTTTTTTTTTTTATCTAATTAAAAACATAGAAAAGTAGGGAAGAGTTTCGTGATGATCTGCATGCCACATGATTTTTCCTTATTTATTATCTCTCTTTCACTTCCTCATTTGCATCATTTGTTTGTGCTGGTAATTGATCTTCTCCTTCTCCTTCTTCTTGTTTTTTGTGGAGGTGAAGTGATTGTTGTTCATTTGGTGTATTGAAAAGTGTAAACCTTAGCGATGTCAGAACTCAGACCCCCTTCCAAAATGAAAGTTAAAATGGGGAAGCTCGGTGAAAGATTACTTACTATTGATATAGATGTTTGTTTTAGACTCCCCACTGTAACATCTTTTCATGTTATTTTTCAGATTGGAGATCTTAAAGGTTTTTTTGGACTTATAATGGTTAACATGCAAATGCTAAGAGCTAAATTGAAAGTACTAGATATGTCTTATGGACATGGAACAGGTAACTTCTGCGGCCTGCCGTCCTTTTAAATTCAAGGTCCTTCGGAATTGTCGACCATCTGCATAATTGTTTCTGTTGTAATTTCAAAAGTGTTTCTTAATGTATTCTTTGTTTGAGGATTGAATAGGTGTTGAATTATGTATGGGTTTCTCTTCAATGGGGATTTTGTAGAAAGTATAGCATATGCATATTATACATCTGTTAAGCGTTCCTTCATTAGATTGTGCTTTTATTGTACCAGCTAATACGGCTCTTGTATATCACCATGGGAAGCTTCTAGCGCTCTCTGAAGCAGATAAACCCTGTAAGTACAAGTGTACAGATTCTATCTATGCATTTTCTGAGAAGCATACAGATGCTGATTTTATCTCAAATTTCATTGGATTAAGAGTCTTTAAGGATTCTTTCTTGGTTGATGTATTATACTAATCTAGGTGTATCACCTGCACATAAAATGATAAAATCACTAGAAAATGTATTTTAGGAAATTTAAAATGATATTTAATAAAATCTAAAAAAATATGCAATAAATCCCAACAATTCCCTAAAAATGTTTATTTTCCCTTTAATTACAAATATTAACCAATTAGACCCAAATAATCCAAAACAAGTGTTAAAAAGTCAAGAAAAGTGAGGTAAAAATATGTAAAATATGTGAATTATCAGTCTATAAGGAGTCTTTCTTGCTTGAGGCATTATACTAATTAATGTTTATTTGATTTCTTCTAACGGGGGACTGATTTTTTTTTTTTTAAATTTTGGTAGATGCCATTAAAGTTTTTGAAGATGGGGATTTGCAAACTCTTGGCCTACTGGACTACGACAAGAGATTGAACCATTCCTTTACTGCTCATCCAAAAGTTGACCCGTTTACTGGTGAATTCATTATCAAATTAGAAATTCAGTTGTCTGATTTGATGAACTAGTTTTATCAAATAATAATATTCCTGCATGCAGGTGAGATGTTCACATTTGGCTATTCACATACGCCACCATATATAACTTACAGAGTAATCTCAGAGGACGGATATATGCATGATCCTGTACCTATAACAGTAACAGAGCCCATCATGATGCACGATTTTGCCATCACGGAGAACTATGCAATATTTATGGATCTTCCTTTGTATTTTAGACCAAAGGTACTGCGGTTTTTTCACTCTTGTAATTTATCATGGATGATGATACAGAAACCGAGTCTTTCATATTTCTCTCGTCTACCACATATCAAAAATAAAAATCCTTCGCTATGCTCATGCACTTTGGTGAAATAGCTTTAAATTAAACGTTTATAATGGTATGACCCTAAGAAGGATGCCCAGCATGAATTTTACTTTTACAGATCACGTAATCAGCATCATGATTGCTTTATTTGCTTATCTTAATTCAAAGTAGAAACTATTAAGTGGCGTGTAATTATCTTAAATGTTGATGATGTTCTTCTGCATGTTTTGTTGTTTTGTTAAGCACCAATTGAGGTAGTTTATAAAACTTTGTTTGTTGAATGAAATATATTTTTTCAGGAAATGGTGAAGGAGAAAAAAATGATATTCTCTTTTGATTCAACCAAAAAAGCTCGTTTTGGTGTACTGCCTCGATATGCTAAGAATGAGATGCAAATTAGATGGTTTGAGCTTCCAAACTGCTTCATATTCCACAATGGTGTGTTTATTTGTCCCTGTTTCTCCTTGACAAATTATTCTTGATCGATGTCCTGTGATTATGACTCGGTAAACTTTGCAATGAATGTTGAGTGCATTGTAACAATATTTAAGTTCTGGCTCTAGCACGATGGATTCTCCCATCAAGCCTATAGGATGTCTTAATGGATAGCTGTAAGTTTACATTTATTGCAATAATATGCTTATCACTTTATATGAAAAGAGGAGAAATGTCATATGCTTAAAAATTACTACCAAGACCTTTTCTCCTCTTCAGCCTTCTAAAGGTTTAACTTTTGGTTTCTTGTTTTCTCTATGACAGTGAACTAGATATTGAATTTAACTAGATTTCCTTATAGTGTAATTCACGGGATAAATAATAACTTGAGAAAATGTGGATTGAAATTAAAAAAAAAAGGAATTTCTTTTTTTAAAAATCTTTTTTTTTTTTTAAAGAAGTGTACTTATTGTGTGTTGTGTAGATAGTACGAGAGAGAATTTATAAAACAAAGTAAAAGAGAAAACTCAGGCATGGAGCCGGAAAGAAGATAAATTGACACTATTCACAAATTATTTGACTTCCTATAAACTGATTATATATAGAATAAATATGGATTGAGGCTATCAATAATTATTGCTTTTAGAGATTTTCATGCGTATGAAACTGGCTTGTAATGAGGACATTTTACTATCACCTGCGAAACATAATTAACTTTTCTTTGGGGGGGGGAATCAAATTATCAATCTGCGTTTAAAGTTTTCAATTCTCATTTGACCGTTCAAATCTCTTTTATAATCTTTTGTATGAATTTTTTGTTCTAGCTAATGCTTGGGAGGAGGAGGAGGATGTTGTTTTGATTACCTGCCGCCTTGAGAATCCAGATCTGGACATGGTCGGTGGTGCTGTCAAGGAAAAGCTTGATAATTTTGCAAATGAGCTGTAAATAATCTCAATCCTATGTGTCATTTGTGGAACTCTAACTACTGGACGAGTTTTTTTCTTCTTAATGTTTATTACTGTCTTAGGTATGAAATGAGATTCAACATGGAAACTGGTCTAGCTTCACAGAGAAAACTATCAGCGTCTGCCGTGGACTTTCCTAGGGTAAACGAAAGCTACACTGGCAGGTAAGTTTAATTCATATGTTTTGGGAGCATTAGGGTTTTAATAGGCTACTCTGAAAAATGAACAATCTAGAACTAGATTCTGAAATTGTAAGTCATTGTTACTTAATCAGCAATTAAGTTTGTGGTTGTAATTTTTATAGTGATCCCTTAGGACCCAACTCACCTAAACTTTTCTTAAAAAAACAAAAATAGAAGAAGGGATAAAGCAATGCTCCCATATGTGATTTCCAAATAATGTTCTATGATAGAATCAGAACAGTGAATATAATTAATGCTTGTTTCCCATCACCTGTACTTACTATTTGTATTCTCAAAATCAGGAAGCAGCGATACGTTTATGGAACCATATTAGACAGCATTGCAAAAGTCACAGGGATTATCAAATTTGATTTGCACGCTGAACCAGATTCTGAAAAAACAAAGCTTGAAGTTGGAGGAAACATTCTGGGTATCTATGACTTGGGACCAGGGAGATTTGGTTCTGAGGCTATTTATGTCCCTCGTGTGCCTGGCATCGATTCTGAGGAAGATGATGGATACTTGATAGTTTTCGTGCATGATGAGAATACAGGGTATCACTTTCCTCTTCACCCTAGACAGAGTGATCTTAGAACCCCTTTGGTATATAATATGAATGAGGATGAGAAAGCTCTTTCCTATTTATGTGAACGAGAAATCTTAATGGCATTATTCTTATGTGGGACTGCTCCCTCTAACTTAAAAGTTTATGTTGCGATTAATGAAACTTTGTTTGCCATTTTTAGTAGAATAAAGCCTAAGAATGAATTTTAATTACAATACTGCAGAAAATCAGCAGTGCATGTCATCGATGCGAAAACAATGTCAGCTGATCCTGTTGCAGTTGTTGAATTGCCACATAGAGTTCCATATGGTTTCCATGCCTTCTTTGTGACAGAGGTTAGTGTTAATTATATTGTTTCTACCTCATGTCACTCTAGCTCTTCTTTCTCCCACTTAACCCTATCTCCTTACTTCTATGATTTCAATGAGAAAAGTTGGTAAAGCAATGGAAGTTCAAAGAATTTGCTTGAGATAGAATTTAAGAAATTGATTTTGACAACCAAAGAAGTCTTCAGATAAAACATCGTGTTAGATAATGAGCTTAAGCTTTGGTGGTATTTAAGAGTTCTCAACATCAAATGAAAATGACCTAAAATGGTAAAAAACTTTAAAGCAAGTGAAAATTCTATTTTTTCTATTTTTCTTTGTTTAATCCAGTGTTTTAGCATGATGCAGTATTGGGTGTATCACTTTGCTACAAGTTGCTTTTTTTCCCCCCCTTTTCCTTTTCCTTTTCTGGTTAGATTTATAGGATCTGGCAAATCTGCACAAGTAATTCAAGATAACCTAAGTAATGTGTTACCTATGATACCCCACTAGGGCCAAAAATAATAATGAAACGCTGTTCTCCGGGATTGAAACCCTTAAAAAATGAATAAAATCACATCCCAACACGATGCATATTTAAGAAACAACTCTACCCAAATTTGCAAATAGCGATGTTTTAAACTGTCTTGATCTGAAACCCTTAAAAAATGAATAAAACGGTTTCAATGACCCAATAAAGGATTATGCAATAGATAACAAATTAACAAGTTTAGTTCATTATGTAATGATATGATGCCTGAAAGGAAAATATGATACTCAATATAGTTATTTCAACTTCAGTAAATATAGCTAGAAAGTACTCTACTGCTTGATGCAATACAAAAAGTTGTAAATAGACTTGAGTTTAAGAAAGTAATATATATTTTTATGTTTTTCCCCTCTTGTACTTGCATTCTAACAAGAAGTCATGGTTCCCCTCACAGGAACAACTACAAGCACAGGCGAAACTCTAAAAGAGTTTTAACTTGTAACAGAAGATAAAGCATCCCAGCTGCCTCTGTACACCGTTTACACATCCTTCTCATTCACAAGAGTTTGTTATATATATATATATATATATATATAATGACATACAGGGTAGACTCTTATGATTACTCCCTCCTTCAAAAATATAAAACAATTTTAATGTTTTAAGTTTTAATTAATGTGTTTTTTTTCAAAAGTGCTCTTAATACATAAGTCACTTTATATTTATTTTAAAGTAAAACACTGTAAGTTTTAGTTAACAATGTCTTATATTTTCGAACAAAAAGAGTACAAAACGTGTATTTTTAAAGGAAAATTGCATTTATGAACTCCAACTTGATAAAAATGAGATTAAGAGTATTAAAAAAATCATAATTACCCTCAAACATAAAAATTAATATTAAACGTATGCTATAGAAATAATGAAATTTTTAGCCCCTTATATTTATTTCAGTGATCAATTTGATTTATAATTTAGAGAAGAGGCAACTATGTTAAAATTTGTTGATATGGATAATGAAAAATTGGTGGCAATTATGTAGATTAATGAAAAGGAATATAATTATTTATATAAAAAAACAAATTTAGAAACTTTTAAAAATAAAAACAAAACAAAAACACATCACAATTAAAAATTAAACTTATTTGAGGATAAGAGTTAATTTGCATTTTTAAAGCTTGAATGATGATTAAATTAATAAAAATTAAATTTGAGAAATCAAATCGGTAATCAAAATAAATTTAGGGGATTAAAAATTTTATTTTCTCATTATAATATCTTGAGGAAATTATTTATGAAGTTAGTTAAATTTTAAAAAATATTGCAATAAAGATCCCTTGACCATAGCTAATAAAAAAGAGAACTCTAAAAAGTCTAAAAATTCAATGTAGGCTAAGAGTACTGCAATGAAATTAAATTGCAAAGGAAAATTATATAATTATTCCTACTGAAATATGGTTTTTTGTTCATTAATTTAAGTTATTTATTTCTCTACATGTTATTCACTACCCTATATTAAGTTATTTATTGCCCTATTGTTTATTGTTTGTCAATTACCTTCAGTTAATAGTCAACTTTTTTCCTTACTTTTGGACATTTGTAATAGATAAATAACAGGCGGTAGGTTAATGGACAATATAATGTAAAGTAATAAATAACAGTATGTAGAGAAACAAACAACTAATGTTAGCATGATAACAATATTTGAAATAAAATTAACTAGAAGTAATGGATAAACAACAGACAATAAAACAATGAACAACTTAATATAAGGTAATAAATAATAATATGTAGGGAAGCGAACAACTCATGTTAGTATAATGACAACATTTAGAATAAAATTAACTAAAAGTAATAGACATACAACAGACAGTAGAGCAATGAATAACAATATGTAAAAAAACAAGCAACTAATGTTAACATGATGAAAACATTTAGAATGAAATTAACTGAAAGTAAAGGATAAATAACAGACAGTAACATAATGAACATTTAATGTAGGGTAATGAACAATAATATGTAAAGAAAGAAATAACTCATGTTAATATGATGACAACATTTAGAATGAAATCAATTGAAAGTAATGGACAAACAATATATAGTAGGCCAATGAATAACTTAATGTAGAGTAATAAATAACAAATAATAGAAAAACGAACAATTCATGATTGCGTTGGCTATGTTTTATGGAAAGGATTAATATTGTCATTTCTCTCAGTATTTTAATTTTACTTCAATGCTCTTAAATTATAGTAAAATTTTGAAGTATTTAAGATTTTCCTTTTTTATAAACTATGGTGAAAGGTTTTTATCAAAATCTTCCCTAAATTTTAATTTTTAAAAACAGCAATAAATTTTTACAACTTGATTGCGACTTTCATTTTATGAACTGGAAATCTTAAATCTTCTAATATATTTTTTGTCAAGTAGGATTCTTGGATATCATTTCTCTCGCTTTTAAAATTGGCTTTTTTGGGCAATTAAATTGGTGTACAGACGACGTCTTATAACCTCTGCAGTCTCACACTATCACACGAGAAAACGCAAGGTCCAAATTTTGAATATCCATTATACACTGAAAATTAAATAGTCCATCATCACCTACAACGTTACCCCGACTGCTTTAAACTAGTGATGACGTGATAAATAATGCCCATACAGCTGCTGCAAAAACGATTTTTGGAAAAATTACTATCAATTGAGCTTAATAATACTTGAATCTAACACGATTAGCTAACTATGTTAAAAAAAAAAAAATTCTACATGAAAGGTAAACTGAACATTCTTTAAGCAATTTTTTAGAAAGAAAGAAAGAAAGAAAGAACACACGCACAGTAATGATAAAGCATGTGGAGTGAAAAAAGAAGAAATTATAATGCATGGAAGTATAAAAAAGAGCTTTAAAATCATCAAGTCAGTAACCATTAAATCCAGATTGATGTACTCAGATTGAAAAGTGCATCCCAGTGAACAAGTTCAGAAACCATAAAAACTATTATTTCACTTCGTCTTTCATGTATTTAACAAATAAAGCAAACCAAGGAGAGACCAATCACAGAAAGATCTCAACCACTTTAACCAAAGTAACCGAGCCAAGAATGAGTTGCCTTGAGGGTGGTTTCCTCCTATTGAGATAGAAGAGACAAAGCCTTCAGCCTCTTCACCTGCAAAATTTGATCTTTCTATTAGACTAATGAAACATGCAAGTAAAACACTACAGCATATCCTGGTTTGCTTAATCGTTGAGGATAGAAAACAAATTTTTTATAGAAAATATGGAGAATAAGAATTAGGTAATAATGGTCGTAGAAAATAGGAGTGTTCATAGGTCCCATTGATTATGGAACTGGTTCGACTTAGCCCGGAGGCCAAGAAAATAGCGATGCCAAATCAGGCCATGAGTTGAAATTTTCAACCCATGGAGGTTGTGGGCTAGGCACATGGCTTAGGTAATGCCCAATCTGACTCGTGAACACTCTTGAAAATTATAATAGACTTAGCAGGGATAAAAAGTAGGAAGCGAGGAAATCCGTCTCTGCCTAAGATACCAATCAAGGATTTCTGGTACTTAACCCATCCAATACCTGAGAAAATCCACCAACTCAGAAGAGTTTCATTTGATAGCCATATTTGGGGTTCCATGAATCTGCATGCTTCCCCTCTGTCGACCAAACAAGTCTCCATTGAGCATGTTCCCAACCATGGACACTGACATGTCATGATTCTTTGATGAGCTGAAAATCTCGTTGTTGATAAGAGAATGATCAGAGGAGGGTGTATTGGCAGATATTGCTGACAGGTTTGCACCGCTGTTCTTGTCCTTTTTTGGAGCAACGTTGGAATTGTTATTTTCAACCTTCTTTGTATTCAAAAAGCGACCCCCACATCCTCTTGCCCTTCTCATAGCATGTAGGTGACGAGATTCGTGAAGATATGGCTGGTAAAAAAATTTAAGCATTGTCATAATATGATCTCTTACATGGGGAGACAAATAGAGGGTAAATGTCGTTTGAATCCTCTGCAATTGCGCAGTAATATCATATGAAAGATAATGATACAAAGAAGTGAGTGTGTGACTCCCATTTCATTTATTTGCACATATACCAACACAATGAGTTGTGAATGTAGAAACTGAAATACTACACTCAGAACCACTGTGCTCATTTAGCCAAGGTCACATTAATTGCTTAGACATGCACTATCTGCAGTATTTCAATCACTAAATAGTAAGAACAGAAATAAACAATCCAAGGGATTTTTTTCCTTGCAGAATTTAAAGAGATTTTATATTGTTCTCACATTAGTTGTTCGTCTTTTAAAACCTGTATACTCTTGGCTTCTTAGTAGCTAGCAAGTTAACATGAAATGCTATAATTGAGGGAGTGAAATGAATTTAGATGGCTATATCAGCATGTCAACCATACCTTTCTAGCTTTAACAACTTTTCTTGCAAGCTCAGCCTTAGCACGTGATTGCCTTCGCCTTAAAATACCATGATACTGCTTTGCATTGACATAGACAGGCTCCTCTTCCATTTCAAGTG